TAGCTTACGGCACTTTGTCACCCGAGTTCACCACGGAAAGTGGTGTTCGACAGGGTTGCCGTCTCTGTCCATTTCTATTTAACTATGTCATAGATTTCATTCTTGAAACAGCCCTATCCTCGTGCGGGGATTGCGGCATTGATTCACTCCCAGATGGCAGGCTGTCTGATCTAGAATATGCAGACGACATTGTGGTACTAAGTGAGTCAAGAAACTTACTGCTTACCGCTGTCTACGCAGCATTGCACAAATCTAGTGGGGCAGCCGGACGAGCGATGCTGAGGTTAGACACGGGGTTTTAGGTAAATGCGGTCGCCCACTGGAGCAAGTGGCCGACCTCCATAGATTACGTTGTTTGTGGCATGTGTTACGCATGTCATGAAATACGTTACCACGATGAGCGATGTTCGCCCAGGCAGGTAGTGGGTGGAAGAAAGTCAAGGGTGTTCAAGCTAAGACTTGGAATGAGGGTATGAAAACCCTAACCAGAAGTCTGGGTCACATAGGTCCTGTTAGGCTCCCTGGATGGGGACCTCGGAATGGTGGTCACCGATGGTTAGAGACACTGAGTGATATGGCTGGGTGTCGTAAGCAGTGGCGTTCGTGCATCTTGTCGATTTATCTGCAAAATGAGTGCAACGAAATCTTAAATTTTCCCTTCGATCCTACTTTCAACCTTTCCTGTCTTTCTGCTACTGTTCATCCAAATGGACAGCAACCAATACCGGCGCACGAAAGTGCATGGTAATGGTTGTAGAAACTGAAACTGAAACTGCTTACAGCAGTGATTTTTACGCAGTGCTTTCTGTTTCTTCATTACAGGTACTGGGTCTTGATTCAGCCCTCCGGTTTCTCAATTCAACTTTGCTTCGTGGTCATCATGCTACTATCACATTGTCCGCGATCCTCGAGCTTCATCGTCATATCCTGTCTTTTGTGGACCCTAGTGAGGCTGGTAATATGCGTCAGACACAAGTTAGTTCATTTCTTATTCACATCATTCCGTTTATGCATACACAAACACCAATCGCTATGGTGAATTTGTTTGCTACGCAACTTTTTTCTGTTTCGCATATTACTTTCCGACTTTTCTTTATTAATGAATTCAAGTCAAGGAACACTTTATACATCCAAAGGGTGAATTTTTAGCAATTTTCGATCTTGTGCAGTGAACGTGTAAAATAAAATTGTGATCAACAAGAAATGACAAAGTAAGTTTGATGCTGAAGTAAAAGAAAAAAAGTCAATGCAAGGCCCTTCCTCCGAAGTGGGGGTCAATTGCTTTACATTGAACCAAGAGCCGAACAAGGTATAAGACTACACCGTTTCTCTAGGTGAACTCGTGATCAGTAGTAGGTGAAATGGAACAGTTTTCGAGTAGCTCCAAAAGCATGCGTTCGGTTGGACAAATAATACCATCAACTTACTCCAACTTACATAGCCTTCTCTCTGGTATCCCTTTAAGTTGAGTTGCCGGACTGGGTCAAACGCCCTTGGTGCCCGATACACCTCCATCCCCAATCGAGNNCGGTGAGGAGTACCACAACTAGGAAGGTGTGGGTATGTGTGGTTCGTATGCCTCTTCTTGGCCAACTCCCCAGATTAACTGCCAGTGGTTCACTGGCTCAGTTGTAACCTCGGATGTTGTCTTTTTGTCTTCTTACTTTGATGGATAAAACCTTCTTCACTGGGACGCAGTTAGTAAGGCTTCCTCAACAGAGGCTATTTGAGACAACTAAAACCGAACCATTGTCGTCCTCAGAGCGGAGGTCTGATGGTCACATAGAACAACACTGCTGACCGTGATCATGTATTACTTATTCTGACGGAGTGAA